GCTTGATCCAGAAAACGTGCATGAAATTCCAATTTTGCTTAGTTTCAATTGAAAACGATCGAACGAAACGAAAATACCACGAAAGGAGGCATAGCGAGTCGATCTAAAAAAACAAAGTATATATAAGTATATGCACAGAAATACATAAATATTCAAACTTAAATACGAAGAATTTAATCAGAACAGTATGCCTAAACTTAATCGAATATCGGTCCGAAACTTGAACAGAAACTGAACTCATTTCTTCTAAAAGGAAATCGAGCATCCCTCCGGTTCCTGGATCACGCACATATATTACAAATATTTACAGACAACACAGTCCGCGAGAAAAATTACAGACGCAACCACGAAGGGGCTGGTCTTAATTCGGCGAGAATACACATATTATAAAACGGGTCCGTCTAACGAAACGAGAGACACGCCTAATTTAAAACTAAGTCTTCGAGCGTCAGTCCATTGAAATTCTGCTTGCATACAACGCGTCCGTTTTGTGCGTGCGTGTGTGTGTCTGTGTGTGAGTGTTTGTGTACACGTGCCATGCACATTTACAGTACCGTAACTAGAACGATCTACCGAAACCAAGTCGATTGGTCTGCGACGAGTTAAGTCAACTATAAAAAAATATATAAGTTTAATATAAAAAAAAAAACTGAAGACGAAAAACAGACGATCACTTTAGTAGGTAACTATGTTCGATAATTTAAAAACAACACGAAACGAAGACTGTTAAACGATAATAGTTCATTCTTAACGCTTATCAGCTAATTAATCGGTTAGTGAATTAGGCGTTTACAGTGAACGAATTGGGTATCGTATATGTACAGGACACCGTAATCGGTGGAATTGAGAACTGGGTTTGAGCTGAACCATAAGTGGCGTATCTTAGTGACTTAACGAGCAAGGAAAACGTCTTCTAGTTACGGCACTCGTGTGTCTATCGATTAAAAACTTTGCGCGCGCATTTCCTCCTGAAGATTTTACCGGGTTTTGTGTTCTCTTTCGGGAGATACGCGCGCAAGAAACGACCTCTTCCTGCCTCCAGGCACTAGTCGGCAACAATAAATACTAAACCAATTATCCAGATAGAACGTGATACGGATCGATCCTTCGTTGGCCCGAGATTCGCTCGATTCTCTTTCATTTTTTGTTCTTTCTTCTTTTTATTTATCATCTAATATCGTTAATTCGATCCGCCGTATTTTATTTATTTCGCCTCCGGGAAATACGAGGGGACGCGATGCGCGCGCGCCCTGATTCTTATTATTTACAACGATTTACTCTCTATTATTGCAACAGTAACAAAATATTTCGTATTTTTCTTTTTTTTATCTCTCTCGAAGCTCGCGGAAGATACGTTAATGCCCATTAGAGTATTTTGATTTCAAGAATATTCTACTTTCCAGTCTCTTCTCCTCTCTGCTTTTGCACACACTTTTTCTTTTTATTCTTTTTTTTTTTTTTTCGTTAAACACATTTAGTCGTACGTACACTGGTCGTTATTGAACACCGACAGGAAAGAGATTCAGTTTCTCGTAATTTGTTTCCGAACACGCGGTGTAATCCTATTATCTCTCCGTACCCTGTACATACATTGAAACAGATTTATACAATCACCCATTGTTGCTACGTTTAAATTCGTCACTCTGGATCGATACGATTCGTACGATTAATCGGAAATTTTTTACGATCACCCGAATAACGTCGTCTCGGGCCAACACTGCCCACATCGTTCTATCTGGGTAGGACATCCGTTACTTTTTTTTTTTTAAATATTATTCATGGTGTTTGTTATACAATATGTACAATCGGTTCATATGTGACGAACACATGTTAAAACTTGGTTAAAGATTCTCCTTTACACGTTTCACCAAAGATTGCCGAGTCTGAACGCGGTTCGAAGTATGCATCGTCTTTCTATTAAAATGAGACAATTGAAACGTAATCGATCGAATAAACGATATTCGCGAACGAATCTACGTTCAAAATATCGATCGATTCACAATGTCTTAATAATCCACTGGATCTAAATCATAAAAAACTTGGTCACTTTTTCCGCCTGTCAACTAACAACAGACCTATTTGTCCGTAAAACGTGGTCACATTTCAATTTTCATCCTGCATTTCTGCAATGGGACGATTGAAAAACAAAAAAGAAAAATGTAATTTATCAATCCTTCCGTCAATCTTTAGTAAAATTCAGGTATCCTGACGAATAATGTTTATGGAATTGTCAAGAGAGAGACAAGTGTACACACCGTCGCAGACAATTTCATTAATTAATCCTCGCCAATCGTGATTGCTTCTCTCTCCGTACCCGACAAGAAACAGTTTTCCCAGTCGACGAGATTTACGCTGACAAACAAGATCCCCTCCTATCGACGCTTAATCTCATTCTCTCGCGTTAACATTAGAACCGTAGTAACATCTTATAATACCTCTGACTGTTTTACCTGTACACGCGCGCGTTAACTTAACTTATTACAACGTTCCTCCGTCAAATATCCATCCCGAAAACCATCTGTCTCTCCCTTCCCCTCTCGTCGGTTCTCTTTTCACTGAACCACAGAAGAAAAAAAAAAGAAGAGACAAACGATTCGATAAAATATGCCGTTTCAACGCGCGTCAGACTTTCGATTACGTGGACTCTCGTATCCTCCTACGTAAACCTAAATAAACTACCCCTAAACAAAAAATCGACGATACATTCTCGAAAGAGAAAGAAGAAAAAAGAAAATAAAAGAAAATATTGCTAAATCAAAGGAACTTCTAGGTGAAATAAGTAAACGTACGACGTAGCGATTAAACGTACAAAAAAAAAAAAGAAGAAAAAGAGAGAATAAGTTACGCGTTGCAAACATAGACGCTGTATTAATTAATAAAAATACATAAATCTATCCTCTTCCTCGTCCGGATAATCGATCCAGATAATCGAAAGTTTTTCGAACTTATATTTTTTACAGCATAGAATTTACAGCTCGAGTTTTCCGTCCCATCTCCACTTGTGGCCTCGAACGACGTACGAAATACGATTTTCGATTTTTCGTTTCCTTCCCCGTTCGCGGGATAACCGAGAATCGAGTAATAACGCCTCGAAGAAACAGAAAATAAACAAACAAAAGGGAGGCGAAGGTATCACGTGGGAGAGTCCAGTGAACCCCGCGAATGGACGAAAGTCGATAAAAACCACCCTCTACTACTCGACTACACCACGCGTCCCTGTAACATTCCCATTCCCACCCCCTACCTCTACGCCCTACCCCCCAGGTCGCGATCGATCGAGAATAAATACGGCCAAGAAAAATACTTATCCGGACATCCGTTACTATAAAATAGAGGTACTCTCTTTTGTCTCTTAGATCACCCCCTCCTCTCTGCTCTTAACCCCCCCCCCCCTTAAGCTTATTTTATATTTATTGCAAAGATTGTTGGCGTGCTTATTGCAAGTTTACCTACAACATACTCGCACGAGCGTAGACCGTATTCACTACTCCATTGTCTGGTCATCTCAAAGATAAAACTCGTCGCAGGGAAAAAAGTAACGTGTGACTTTTTTTAGAGTATTCCCAAAAAACAATAATCACAACTTTAATGTCTTAATTCCACAAAGTTTCGAAATGTAATATCGCAACGTGGAATCTATCGTTAATATGAGCAGACAATAGAAAACCTTTTTTTTTCTCGAGTATCTCCAATCGGAAGATTCTCGTTGGTTTATGGATCTTCGACTCTAATATCAAACGCAACGCGTCAGAGTTGTTGAAGGCTCGTGTGACAGATATACATGTAACAAGGAACTCTGGTGTGTGGTATGGATTCTCGAGTGACGAACGTGTGTCTGTGTTTCTAAGCTGTTTTTTCCGGCTTCCCAGCCCGGAATCGTCCACTCCCGTTTCGCTGATCTTTTTCTGCACGCCTTAGTGGTGTCTCGGAGCGCGATTCCAAGAGATATTCCTGCCGTGGAAGCGGTGATTCCGCAGCGTCGAACTATAGAAACACGATCAAGAAACTATTCTCCGTTCGAAGGACGATGAAACGCGGACTAAATTGGCCGAAAGGAGGCGATTCGTCGTTTCGATTGCCTCTATGTATATACAAAAATTCCAAGAAAGTGCTCGTAATAGATATGTATAAGTAAACCTTGATGTGTTGAGTTCGAAACTCGGCGATGGGAACACATGACCGATGCGATTCGCAGCGAAAACGCGATGTAACTCGCGGCGAACAACGTGTCCATCGTTGTTAAATATCGTGTAACAGTGAATTCATATGTTATCGTTTTCTAACTTCTATTTCCGATAGCGCAGTAACGTTACGTTGGAACCCAACATCTAGGTCCAATAACAGAGAATTCATTGCACACTATCGCACACGAAAAATCAACTCTGGTACGATTGATCAGTTTCTTTTCTTTTCGCAACATCGAAAGGCCTGTACAACTACTAGACGCGCGTGGTAGCCCTGAAGCCCGAGAGAATCGCTTTATACTTTAGGAAAAGTGTGTCCGTTACGAGAAGGACGACGATAAAAAATAAACCTCCCAAAAGAATCGGCGGTGATTTATACCGTAGGCTAGAACAGCCGAGAAAGCTTTTGGTTTTGCGCTTTATAGTGAAGGTGAAGAAACTCCTTGAACGATCTCTCACAACGGAATCTCTCGAGTTTTGGTTAAGACTCGCGTATGTATGTATGTATGTACGATGCAAAAAAGAGATCGTGTTGGACACACCGAAGAACGGCGATGTCTCTTCGTCAGTCGCTGGTCACCATCGAGATCCTGTTTCGTCAACGAACACACAACGAGGAAAGCCGAGACCGTGGTGTACACGCGCGGAATTCGTGGCAACTCTAACACACTGCTCGTCCGGTGCTCGTTGGGCCAATCGCAATGTTGCCCTGAGTATCGGTTTTGTACAATTCGTATCTACAAGGATTCCCGCGGCCGTCGTGGTGCGTTCACCTGTCGCGTGGGCCAACGGGGGGCTTTTAGATACCGATCAGTCTCATCGATCGAGAGGTATGTTCTCCAAGTTGGTTACATTACCGAAATGTTGGAAACCGTTCTTGAAGATGCGCCCTCTGCTGGTACCGGCCTTGGTCTGGTCCAGCAGGGTCACGTTGTCCTCGAATTCTTTGACCCATCGGGCAGTCTCGTTGCCCCAATGGAACCTGATCGGCGCAGCTGGATGATAAGGCTTCTTCAGGTCGGATTTCCGACTCTCCAGGCCGTCCGCGGAATGGTAGAACGATTTTTCGCAGAAATCCTGCCCGAGACAGGGCTCGAGCTCGCCCACGATTTCCATGAACGTGGGACGATCGCTGGGTCGCCACTTGAAACACTTCTCCATGATCTTGTGAATGTTCTCGGGACAGCTACGCGGCACGTTCAGCGTCCCTTTGTGCAACACGTGGCTGAGCACCTCCTCGTTCGAGAAACCCTGGTACGGTAACTCCGCCAGAGTCAGGATCTCGTATAGAACCACACCGAACGACCATACGTCCGAGTCGGACGTAAACACGCCGTCGGAAAGATTCTCGGGCGCCATCCATCTGATCGGAAGCAATCCTTTTCGGCCGATTTTGTAGTAATCGGTCTCGTAGATGTCCCTCGCCATCCCGAAGTCGCCGATCTTACAGACCACATCCTTCGAGACCATGCAATTCCTCGCGGCGAGATCACGATGAACGTACTTCTTGGACTCCAAGTAAGCCATACCGTCGGCTATCTCGGCGGCCATTCTCATGATCCCGCATGAGTCCGGCAGCAAGTCCTCTCGGTCACGAATCCGACGGAGATAAGTCTTCAGATCGCCGTTCTCCATCAATTCCATGATCACGAAGGGAGGATTCTCAACGGACACCACGCCCAGAAGCTTGATGATGTGATACGTGGAGAAGTTCTTCATCACCGACGCCTCGTTCAGGAATTCGTTCTTCTCCCGCTGGCTGGCCGTCTTCGAGATAGTCTTGATCGCGACGGGCGTGGTTTTGTCGTACACACCACGGTACACCATACCGAAGTTACCCAAGCCCAGCTTCTCCACGATCTCGACGTTCTCCTTGGGCACCTCCCACTCGTCGATCACGTATTTGGTCTCGATGTAATCGGGATTCACGCTTGCTATCAGTCGTTCCTGCTTCTTTCTCTTCTGCTGGCTCCTCAGGAAGAAGAACATCACGATCAGGATCGTGGACATAACGCCCAGGGTCAACAACGAGATCAACGTGATCGGGCCGTTGCTCGACACGTTTATGGAGAAATAAACAACGTCGGAGAAAAGACCGTCGCCAGCCAACGATGTGGACCTCATCCGTAGACTGTACTTGCCGGGGCTCAGGTTTCTGATGAAGAAACTGTTGTACTTCTCGCGACGTCCCGTCTGCGGGATACACTCAGTGCTCTTCTTCGCGTCTTTCACGTCCATGTTCGTGTACTCGATGCTGTACGAAACTGTCAGAGCGTTAGGATCCTTGACCAGGTCCCAGAACACTTCCACTATGGTGTTGTTCGTGACGCGAACTTTCACGTTCCGCACGTCGTCCGCGTGCTCCTGTCTCTTTGTCCTGGTGTTCGTGTATCGAATGGACGAACACATGTGCGCGTTGTTCATCTTGATTCCGCACGCAGCGATGGACACGGTGTATCGTGAAAAGTGTCGAAGATGTTTTATCACAAACGAATTGTTCGAGCCACTGATGTTGTACGTCATCGCTGCTTCGTTCGTGTACCCCACCACCGCGTTCGTACGATCGTTTTTCGGAGATTCTTTCTCGGGCTGAAACGAGGACAGATTGTTCGTCATTTCGTAGAACTTGTTGTCGATGGTATTGTAACTATTGTACACGCAATAATCCTTCCAGCCGGGCGATATGTAACTGATGGTCGTGTTCTCGTGACAGAATATCTCGAACTTTTTCGACGTGATGACGTCGACGTGTTGCCTGTCCTTCGTGCAACAAGAGACAGCGTTCATGACTGGTGTCTTGATGGTCACTTCTGGGATCACGTCCTCGGTCTCGAAATCGTTCTCCAATGTGTTGTTGCAGTAATCCCGATAGGAAATCAAATCTTCCTCTTCCGGGATCACGGTGCTGGAGATCATGTAGTACCCTATTGGACCGTTCGGATACATCGGCGTTTCCCATTTGACCGATATCTCCGAGTCACTGAGTGAAGTCGACATCACGTTCATCGGTGGTGAGGGTATGGTGCTCTTTGTCCTGAAGAAGATGATCTCGGACTGACCGACAGGGTTCACTTTCGTGTTCCTCGCGTTGAAGGTTTTCACGAACACCGCGTACTTGGTATACGGTTTCAGATTGGTGATGTGTTTCGACACGGTGTTGTTCCATTTGGGTATATCGACGTCGAGTATCTGCCAGGTGTTGTTGCCGCCGCATGCGTTCGACTCGTAGCTGATGTTCTCGTTCTCTGTCTCGATGTAGTTCAACAGATAGCTGAGCAATTGTTGTCCCTCGGGCGGTTTGTAACTGTCCCACACCAGATCCGCGTAATCTGGCCCGAGATGTCGGACGGTGATGTTTATGTTGACGATATTGCACGCGACTTTCTCGCCGTTCGATTCCGGTTGCACTTCCATGTCGGTGAAGTTCGTGATGTTCACCATTTTGCTGAACTGTACGATCTTCGAGAGGCACAGCTTCGGATTATAATGGAAGAACAATCGACCGTTCTCGATACGGACCTGTTGCTCCGGTGGGAACAGATTCGACAGATTCGGATTGTCCAGCACTGCGAGACTCGCGTTGTTTATATCCAGTTTCTCCCCTTTGATCATCTTCAGCTTCTTGAAGAAGCTCAACGACGTGATCGGGAATGAATGGGTGATCTTCAGGTACTCGGTGATCTCCTCGATCTGGCCGAACGCGTCGGTCAGCTCGTTCATTATGTTAGGATTCCCGTTCCGTATCTGAAATTCCAGCGCGCCTCTCACCACCGTGGTGCCACGGTATATTTGGGCGTCGGAGATGTGACGTATCAGGGATCCATGGTTCACTTTTCGGCAGAGGCTCTCGCAGACTCGACACGTGGTCGTCTGTAAATCGGACGGAAACATTCGTTATCCAAGGAGCTAGAAATATCTACTCTGGCTCTAACAAGGAGAGGTGCTCGAGATGAACTCTGGGATTTTTATGTGCTTTTGCAGGATAGTAGCACAGGTTGATCCTTGCCCAAATCGAAAGCTTTCCTTTTTTTTTTTTTTTTTTTGACTGCTAGCAATACAATCGTTCGTGCCTAATGTCTATAAGGGCCCTGTTAAAACTTTAATATTGATTATTTCGAAAAACAATGTGACTTGGGACCTACGATATTGGATTCAGATACGATCCAACCTGTTCTACTATACAGTTGACTGTTGTCAGTTGACCAAAGGTCTAGCGCAAGGCTCGCGGATCTGTGGAACGATATCGGTCGAGTAACTAATAAACGATAAGTATAAATCGTTAACTGAACAATGCCTTACGTTGTTCTGATCGAGAGCGTCCTCATAGCCCTCGGGACATTGAGTCATGCACGATCCATTGAACGGCCTCCAAGCCTGTCCTTCCTCCAGCATGTACACCCTCCTCAGACGATTCATCTTCCCGCACTCTTCTTTGGTGATACATCGTCTGGAGAGATGGGCGTATCTGCGAACCGCGGAGTTGTCGTATTTTCACCGATTATTCGGGTCACAACAATGGGGGTAGAATGACGGGGGGAAACATGGTTCACACATCCACTTCCGATATTTATTACTCACAGATGACTGGGGCACTTTTCCACGCATTTCCCGTCGTGACGATAATGCTTGCACACGTAACAGTCGCTCTCGGATGGGCCGCGACACTCGCCGAGACACTGGTCGTGGCATTTTAGCTTTTCCATTCTCTGACAGTGCTGGGAGGTCCAGCAGAAGCCTTGCGGGCAGTGAGAACATCCTGGGAATATAAAAAACACGATGCTTGTACGGATCCGATTGATCAACTTTTACACTATATATAAACTAATGGCCATATGCAACTAAAACAAATATCATTGGCTTCGTAATTCCAAGCTCTATCACTGTGCTAAACGTTATTAACACTAAACCTACCGAACCCTTCAGGGAGATAGGAATTAGAACAGCAAAACCGGTCATTTGACCGGTCGTGATAGGTTTAGTGTTAAAAAGTCAGCGTTACTCATCGATGATTTACTGTATACTTCCATAAGCTCCAAGATGAACAAAGAACAACTGACAATAGTGACTTTTGATAGATGAATGGGTGGCTTTTGGAAAGGTTCCATTTTACTTTCGTGAATGTTACATCGAACAGAAAAAGGAATGGCAACAGGATCGATCCGATGGACCGAACGTCGCAACCAATGGCGTCACACAGATAATCAATCGTGAAACTACTTTTAGAAGGGATAGGCGAAGAGATAAACAATACCGGGACAAGAGGACTCCTCCCTGTTGTCTTTGATAACATTCTCTCCCGCGGAAACGATCAGGTCCCAGTTCAGGTTGTTGGTGTAGCACAACGACGGGTTCTTCTCGATTCGAACGCTGCCCCTCGAAATCTCCGTGAGCTTCCTCAGGCCTATCTGCAAAACACGAAGAATTCCCGGACACCGAGTTCAGCTCCCGTTAATATCGGCCCCAGCCATAGGTCGATCGATCGGTTAATTCGATTGACTAATTAACGTCACTTGACCGTGAGGGTCAACTGGGCTACCGTCGTCGCGAATTAGAACGGAGGAGCATCGAAGCCAGCCCCGTCTCGTGGGAATGATCGAGGGGGAAAATTATCGTTTCGTGACGCAAATTGTTCCGCGGGGGCCTGGAGTCGTTCCACCGACCCATATCTGGAGCTCAGAGTCAGAGTATATCGACTCCACTTTTCTAGAAAAATAATTTTCTGATGATAACAATTATTTCGTTCTAAGTTGTTTGGTTTTTCAGAGTGGTATCACAGGTATATTGTTCAGAGCTAAAACAGTGTGAAGTCCATCACATAGAGGACTAAATGCAATGTTCTAAATATCGAGATCTGTCTTAAATGTATTCAATAGTTCGAAGGTAGCAATTCTTTCTCCTTGAATTTTTACTGAACACGGTTCCAAAGTTAGAAGGGTTTTGCATTCTTGATTCGCTCTGCTCCAAAAATTAAAAAATTGCGACTTAATACACTCTGGCTCTGTGGTTCAGTTCAAATCTTTATTCATATTCCCGGCAAGTCCTCCTCCCACCTCGTGGTTCACGATCGCGCGCGGTTCATAAACCGAAGAGCAGAACAGCGTAATTTTCCCTGTTTCTCTCTGCGCTGAAAAAATGATTAAACAAATATTTGCGATCTAAGCGAATATTGATCCACGTTTATTTTGAGAAACAACACCCGACCGCGAGAATCCCCATCGATAACGCGGTCGAACAGCGCTTCCCGTTTGGAACGTGGCTTCGGGTGTACTCGTTGAAAAATATTTGCACCACAAACACGACTTTTGTTTGATACACCGTTCACCTTGTTTCTTTTCCTTCGACGCGGTAAAAATATCGCGCGCAATGCTTGCGTATCGATAATCACCGACGAGGTATATAGAAGTAGACTTGTCACCTTACGAGACACTTGGTGGTCCATCTAATCTGTAGTACCGAGACCTTAAAAAAAAAACCTGTGATTTTAGTGACCTTTGCACTTTATAAAAGAACGATGAAATTTCGTTACAGTAAATAGATTCGTTTTTTACGTTATGATAGTGTCACTGAAATGGTAATGGGAGCGTTGACGCCCCAGAAAAGTGGATCGTAGAAATACATTGGACGTTAGGTCTACTCCTGTACCTCGTTGGTGATAATATCGAGAATATTGGACCTCTACACAAGGCTATCGATGTGTCCCTACTTTGCCTTGAGACTTCTCTGTAAGGGTACAAGGATATAAGGGCTCTTAAGGTACCTAAACACGTGTAATAGAGTTTGAAAGGTGCAGAAATAACTGGTCCGAAAGGAAACTAAATTTATACAACTCTGCCTTTTTATACATTTGTCACTAGGTCCTCGATCCCTGTCCAATTCAAGAATCATCGTTATACCCTTAGTGTACACACTCACCTCTTGGAGATTTTGCACCTCGTACACCATGAACGCGTAGTCAGTGAGCAGAATGTTCCCTCGTATCACCTCCAGATTCGGGAATAGGTTGCCGAGACTCTTCAGGCCGTTCACGCGATACAACAGAAGGTACCCGGTGATCTCGCGCAATTCCGGGAACTGGATGTTCTGGAAATCTGCCTCGGAATTGTTCTCGATCAGCACCACCTGCAGGAAACCCTCTATCACGCGACAGCCCTTCATAATCCCGAAATTCATCGCGGTGTTCCTGATGTCGATGCTCATGCAAATCCCGTCCCCGATCGTCACGTTTTTAAATCGCCGTCTTGTTGGCAGCTTCGTGCTCGGTTTCGGGAGGTTTGTTAATTGGCCCGGTTGTTGGTTCACCTTCGTGTTGTCGTCCGTTGATCTATACCGATAACGAATAAATCATTGATGTAATTCGCTGGAATTAGAGTAAACGAAATGAACGCTGGTCTACAGAAGCTCTAAGTATTTATACATTTTTCGAAAAGGTCTAAGATTGTTTATCCTTCTCTACTTTTTCATAAAATTAACCTTCGCACAGCGAATACAGGATCATTTTAACCCAATTGTACCTAATATTGTATTCTTTATAGTTATGTGTAAATGTAATATATGAACTTGAAAATATACATAAAATTTTATGCACAATTTCTTCTTGAAATCTGTATAAAAGGGAAATTTTACTATGGGTCAAAGGGACCCTGCATTCGTCTGCCACGACCGTTCTAGATCATTCGCCTTCCAAGGGTCAACACGCTGACTGGCACAGTGAAAACAGACAGTACGTAACCAGACATGCGTCGTTTTGTTTCTCAAGTCGTAAATCGTCGAAAATATATGCGTTTCATTAATAGAGGCTATTACCATTCGACGGTTAAATAGTTTCTTCGCAATGCTTCTACTAGTTATCTCATAGTTGGCAGTCAATATGATATCACTGAACTGCGGATGTTTGTGCTATTTAGAATTTTTCAGAACAAATTTCCCAGAAATGTCTTTTCTACACTATGGATTTCAATATATTAATAATAATGCACAAAAGTAATATTAAACTATATTAGAATATTTATTTTGCTCCATTTCGCAAGTAAAACGAATAAATTAACACGTTGACTGCCACAATGAAAACGGTCGTTCGTAGCCAGACACGTTTTATTTCGTTTTTTAAGTCTTGTTTTAAATTATACGGTGATATTAATTTCACAGAAAAATATTATAATGGTATTTAAATAATCCAGCCTCTTTGCAATGTTTCAAATACGAGTTATCTCGTAGTTGGCAGTCAACGTCTAAATATCCCACACGATTCTAGCGATGATTCTTCCTCCTGGATATTCTACCTCTCTATTTTCTCACCACCCCCCCCCCCCATACTGGGGTGTTATCGAACAACGTACCTAGCAGCATCGATGGCCCTGTTGCTCCTGTAGTTAACGATCCGATCGTAAAACTCCGGGTCACCGGGCGCGACCAGCTCCCGTCCCCGATGGTATCCTTCCGCGTCGTACTTCCTGTCCACCGCGTAATAAGGATCGTATTTGCCGTTAGCGGCCCGATCCTCGCTGCGGTAGCTCTCGAACGTGTTGGGCCAGCTGGTGTCCTGGCAACCGGCCAACCGGGCCGCGACGCCTAGGCACACGACGAACAGCAACGACCACCTCATCCTCATCTCCTTGTCTCATCGACACTGTGTCCTATTGACGAGGCTATCGTCAAACCTTCCTAAATTATCCCACCGCCACCCTCTCTCCTCTCTCCGGTTCTTCCACCTCCGTACACTCCGCGATTAATCGGGTTGGAGTCGATCGATCGTCTGTGTCCCCGTACTCGAGAGAAGCAGGAGTGACTACTACTCTATTACGAAGTGCCTCGAGAAATTTGCTCGATTCACCGACGGAGCTGACCTCGAGACAGAGAAGATGTTGCCGTGGTCCCACCCGGTCGGATCGGTACCTTATCTTCTTCCCCCTTCTTCCCCCAGCGAATTCCCCTCCCCCCAAGAGAGAGAGAGAGAGCCGCGCCTCGTGAACTTCACGAAGATGATCGTGACTGGGCAGCAGTGTGGCAGCCTCTTCTTTCTCTTCGCGTGAATTTCGAATTTTTCACCTCTCGATCGAGAACGATGAACTTGTGACGAGAGAAGATTGCAGGGAGACTCGATTTTAATAGCTCCTCTGGTCCAGTTACCGATGATCTTTGGATCTCCTCATGCCTCCTTTTTCCTGCCGTAGACTGGAAAATCCTTGTCTTCTTCCACAGTCTTGATTGGTTCTCTGTCTCTCTCTCTCTCTCTCTCTCTCTCTCTCTCTCTCTCTCTCTCTCTCTCTCTCTCTCTGTCTCTCTCTCTCTCTCTCTCTTTCTCTCTCTCAAGGAGAGAGTTCTGCAAGTTCAGTAGTCCTGGCGAAGAACACCTTCGCGATCGACGATCGCGATAAACCACCCATTCAACGCCAATGGACCAGCGCACCACCACCAACACCTGCACCACCGTGTTAAGTCTGTGTTTTTCGGCAGAACAATTTTACCAACGATCACATCGCGGCGGTCACGTTCAAAGGAGCTTCTTGTTGAAAATGAAGAACTTCCTGGACTTCATAGTTACGATCCGCCTGGAAGCAAATCGAACGCGCAACGTTAGAATAGGAGGGATTGACAAGGAAATTGTCGCTTCGAGATACGATCACGTGAGAGACTTCTTTAAGGTCTGTTCGCGCGACCGTAGTCGACAACACGTGTCACAACTATGTAACTAATCGACCCACTTGACCCATTAAATTTCAACGACGCACACGTTTATAGAGCGCGACAGACGATTTCTCTTGTAGAGGGACGGAACGATGTAGAAATTATTACGATTCGGAACTCGTTGTGTATCGGATGAATCGAGTTTGACCCGTTTTGATGCGCAGCAGCCGCAAAATCAGGCCATACTTTCAGCATCTTCGTTGGATAACTAGTCCTCCCTTAACCGTGATTCATAAAAAGATCAATACGATAAACGTAACACTAAATTATGCTCTAAAATAATTGATTCAGTACCAACAACTTACTCACACCAGGGCTAAGGGCTAAATGCTAAATTAATCAGCTCTTAATAGGTCCCAAAAATCGCAAAACAATCAATAGTACTAGTCTCCGTGGGACGAGTCAAGCGCCTAGTGGTGGGGATGAGCACTCATAAAGGATTTACTGTATTTGGTCTGGAAGATCTAAAATTTCATATGTCTGTCGAAATAGATGAAACAATATCATCTTTATTCACAAATTTCGGCTGTTCTGATAATCTGTAATTTGGGAGTATTCGATATAATCAAGGTTCTACCGTACTCGTAATTCTTTATATATTTTAAATCAAAGACTGCATATTGAGGATCACTTGGGCTGTTTTCCCTCCAATTAAGCTGTCCACGAAATAGCTTATTGCCCGCATCCAAGGACCGCATCGAAGCGCAGTCTCGAATCGCAGCCAGGATTCTGGTTTAATGGATCAAGAGCGATCCACCCGTTTAGTCCGACTAATTGCGTCACGTTCGGCGATTAAACGTCACACACCGGTGGAATATCACAGAAATCGCCGTACAAATACGTAGACGATGGATCTCAATGAAGGTGGATGCTTCTGATTAAATGTCGAATGCACCCCCGAGGAAATGATCTCGAGTGGAAAAAGTGAAGACAAGCAGATCCACGAAGAATTCCAAAGGGAATCTTACATCCCTCAATTCCAATAATTGTGCATCAGAGAAATGATTTGTCTTTTCTGAAGAAATAAACTTCTGCGAATGAACAATTTCACTGACAAACATAATGAATCTATAGACCCCAGAGTCAGTCTGGGGATTTTATTCGACACTTTCATGTGAACTGAAGTGAATAACCTCCAATTAGTCCATGCAAACCTATATACATAATCACTCTACTGGACGATAATGTTAAATATCACCTGTTACTATTTCCACACAGGCAAGATAAGGAGTTTTCAGAGAATACATACGTAGAGCAACGAGTATTTTTTCCTGATAATCAAATGGATATATTTCGATTCAGGTGCGCGCAGAGCCGGTTTCAAGGAGCATACTGTCGGGCCCCGCTCCACGGTTCGTTTATATTTATGCGCCGAGTATAATTATGTTGCACTACGGGCACCGAAACAAATTTTCCACATGTGAAACCAAATTAGCACCAGCGGTCTCGCTGGTGACACTCGGCAGAAAACCATTTCTTCCCTTTTTAAAAACCGCCTCGATGGAAAGATAAACGTAATCGAACCGGTAATCGCATTTCACGCGATAATGTTGCACGAAAATCCACACAGCAGTATATCTGAAATAAAACCGTTATCGGAGCAACGGGAAACATTTCCAGGGCGGTTCTCAATTTCTCGCGTTCTATTCGAGGACCATTAAACGAACACGCGTCGAGGGAGAAGATAAATCCCCTCTTCCGTGATGGGTTCATTATTGAATGTTTCGCGTCATTTTCTCTGTTATCGTTCCGATAATCATCGATAATCATCGATAATTGGTGAACTCGTGTGGCTGGAGACGAGCTCAACCAAAAGGGAACCGGAACGAGGGACGTTTTCATCGTATCGATGATGCTGGGATTAATATCCAATCGATTATAACGAATCTCGAGAGTCTCGAGCGAAAACAAGATTAACGCAGAAAATTAAGGATCTTCGAATCGAGCTTCTACCGTGCGAACGATATTAACCCTTTGCACTCCGAGCAATTTTTAATATGACCTACCAGCAACTTCGAGTCATTTTTACTACGAGCAACCAGCTACTCCAGGACTATTTAATTTTAACACACAATTATATAATTGTGTGCAATGTAACAGTAGATGCCCCCATGGAAAAGTGAAAAATATTTTAATTTTTAAATGTATAAAAATACAAAGTTGCTCTATGTATATAGATTTCGTCACAGCGGCGACATTGGAGTGCAAAGGGTTAATTTCTACGGAAAAGCTTGTGAGAGGATCCTGGAGAATCGAACGCGGTCGAAATGGCACGGGGATTCTCGCCCCATTCATAACTCGACGCGGCGAGACTGATAACAAGCCGATAAGAGATGCCGGATTGGCTCGTGCCTCGAACCTCGGTTTCTTATCGTGGACTTCGTCGAGCAATTCGAGACGATCCACGGAGAGACGTGGGCAGCTCCTCGTTTCGAGTGCCTCTTAGTCGAGGGAAAAACCTTGATAGATCTTTGTTCACATCGTTATTCCTTTTAACCCAGAAATGGTTGGTCCAGGGAACAGTAGTCTACGTAAAACTAATGCAACCTGGATTGTAAAAATTCCAAAAATCGATTGGTCCCTAACAGTCTGTTCAAAGACCGCTTCAATTCGATTCGATGAATCAGCAAGGTAGCAAGAACCTGATCGGCTCGCTACGTTGCCTCTTTGCGCATAAATCATCGTAACATTTCAAGTTAATTAAACAGATCGAGTGAATTTCGTGCTCACGGATATATGTTCGTCCAATGAAGTATCCCACTCGTATACACACTCTCGTACCATTCCCTCCGATGTCCGGTTTACGGACTCCCATGTATTATCAACTTTGTTCCGCTTAACGGTTCGCAACTTCTTTGCTTCCATCCCTGCGTTCCGACCGTCTTAACACGTCAGAGGTAAATCATCTGGACACGCTCGTAGTCATTAACTCCACCCTGAATTACTTTCGAAATCATTCCCAGACACTAAATCGTAGTGGGGTTTATGATACCAGTTGGTGAACGTCCTAGGTTGATTGATCTTTGGTCAGCTTTCATTAGGACGCTTATCTATCGTCCAGCAAATTACGGAGTTATTTTGGCCAACAAGGGAGAGAACAGCAACACGATCGATGAACCTACATGGTGTTCCGTCCACCCTATTCGATGAAATCTGGGTCAACAACTATCCCGAATATAACCATTGCGTAGGTTCGTGTTAAAAGGTCAGCAAACACTATCAACAGCACTGACGTCGGTCAATTCAAAGTTGAAAGCAGCCGAAAATAAATCAGACGTATTAAAAAGTTAGAAAATCGATATGCATTCCGTCAAGACACGTGGGCTAAAATGGGTGAAAGCAGGATTTCCTCCCCCCGCACGATCGATCCTCGAGTGTTATTTAAAGGACCGAAATTTTCCGTTCCAGATCGCGACGACAGGAGCCGTTTCTCTCGTTAACCGGTTCGCGGCACCTTAGCCCTTCGGAGGGGGAATAACAAATAAGGCAGGTGACGCAACACGAACGAGACGTAGTTTGACGCAATGATGCAATTTTCGGATCTCGTCGTTTTTATTCCCCGCCCTCAACATCTCTCTTTCTTCCCCCGGCGTGTCACAATGAACGCAAACGAGATTTCCCTATATCGCATCGTACAACCGTGCACGCGAGATACATATAATTCACGCGTCTAGAAATAATCTCACGACTATCTGCGGCCACTCGTGGTCTTTATCCAGCGTGCACGGAAACGCGGTCGTGTCCCAGTTCGGAGCACCGAACCAGAGCTTTTCTGTTTTGTGTTGTCGTAAGGAAAATTTTCTCGATGATACAAAAGTAAACCTGAGACGATTATATGACTCTACCGAAGAAAATTTAAATGATAATTTCTTTAGGAATATTCTCAACTGTCATTTTAGCCTTCTTTCTATAAATTAACACGTTGACTGCCAACTACGAGATAACTCGTATT